GCTTGACGACCACCAGTGGACGATTACAATAGAGCGTGAGCGTAGTTGCCATGCTCGGTGGACCTATCGTCGAAAATGACGGTGTAGCCAACTATACCTCATCCAGAGACACTTCAAGAAATGGAGAAACACCGTTCCAAGTCCCCATACTTTAGTCTGCTCGTTTGTCGTCACTTAATGCCCAAGTCGGTGAAGTGAGTGGGGCAAGACAGAAGTCAGACGATGCGCACTGGAAAACCAGTGGCGGTTAATCACCGTAAAACAGTACAGCTACCCTCAGAAGGCTGCCAGCGTGAATAAGCAAACACAAAGGCATTGTCTAGCAGGAGTTCGGAGGAGAGGAATCCAAATTGAAGCGAACTGAGGAATGCGTGGTGAAGGCTTGACTGTGCATGAGTTTTCAGTGGACAGGACAACTCACCCAAACACGATAGTTGGGAAAGCAGTAATCAACAGCAAGGTATTGCGCCCACGTTGCAAAACCCTCATTGAGCCAGAGGTCCGTCCACCACGACATAGTCACAAGGTTGCCGAACCACATGTGTGACACCTCGTGTGCCACTGTCAGTGCCACCTTCTGCTGCGACAAAAGAGAGGAGTTCTTCGGGTCGATTAGTAACGCCGTTTCTCTAGACAAGTGCGCAAACAGAAAGCCATTGCTAGGTAGGTGATGTGAGGGTAACACTGCGTAAGCTGTCAGAGATTTGTTGAGATAAAGCAGTCAAAATGAGTGTACAAAGTCCCTTCTTTACTGTTTTGTTGTTCATCTTTCCAACAAAAACAGCTCTCTTTACCCTATCTTTAGTGCTGAGCGCACTTGACCACAGCCTTGTGGAGTGGTGAGCACCACGTTCTCCTCTCAAAAGGAAAGACAAGTTGTGCATTAGCTAATGTTCACATTACGGGGTTCCCAACTCGGTTGCATAGCTCTCCTCATCTTGCATGATTGAAAAAATCATCATATAGTTGACTAGGCAGAACAGTTCTCTTGGATGCGTCTACGTGCTCATGTCTTCCGCTGCAAAAGTAGTGCTTCGACGTTAACGTGAGTTTACAAAACATCATAGCGATCAACAGCCAAACTGTCCACCTTAGCAGAGGTTAAAGCTCATTTCGGAGGTGAAGACAGAAACAAAGAGGTTACCTATAGGTTATCAAGCCCCAGTTCTCCATCGCATTGCATGCGAAATCGGGAATGGCAACCAAATCAAGCTTCGACAGTGGATAGGGGTATCCAAATAGTTTGGTGTAGAACGGTAGCGACTTCTCCACAACTGTCAATGCGTGTTTCCCAAAAGAGCACTTGCCCGGTACAGTGTAAACTCGAATTTCAAGCTTCTTTGATGTCTTTGTGAATTCCTCCTTCTCCGAGTCAGAGGAAGAGGAATTAGCATTCCTTGCCACGTACGTAGAGATTGTGCTGGAGATGAACTCGAAGTGCCCCACCACCATAGCAACAAGGTAGGTCGACATAACCGGAGTACGGTCAAACGTAACCTTGACGTAGTGGTGGCAATCAGGAGGTTCGCTGCATCCCTCCGGAGTTGGTATAATGTCACGAGAGATTTCGGGCTAAAAAAAATTGTCAAGAGCCTATTATGATCGATACTAGTTGCCCACATGAGTCTCATATAAAGCATTCATGCTGTGCTACATAGTCGAACCTTCTGCACCTCTACGCATTGCTACAACTTTGGCGATGAACCATAGTAACGCAGATGTGATACACCATATCTGATCGGATGACATTTTCTGACCTGAGCACGATGCAATGAAGGTAGCTACCATGGACTAAGAAATGGTTAAAAGTCAACTGAATTTGCAAATTTAGCAATCAAACTGGGGGTGTTATTAGAAATTATGGCGCCTTAACGGATGAATGGAAGACTTTGATGGTAAGTAAAGTAAACACTCTGGACTCAGCTCTACGAATTCAGAGGCAATTGGCGCTAATGAGACTATGATAGGGATCAGAAAACCCTACTTTCTCGAAGGCATATGAAGTGTACAGAGAGTTATGCAGTGCGTTATGAACTAACATTGGCTCAAATTAAACAAAAATTGGGTAAGTTTATTAGGCAGTTATGCTCTAGGAATCACAAAAGCATCTATGGTTGACTAATTTCCTTGCGCGAACGAACGGTGACGGACCATGTTTGAGAGTGCAACTTGATTGTCGAGAGCGACGATGGTGATGTCAAAAGTCGCTTTCCGATCCGGCTCATCAATGCAAGGGAATGCTCGGCGCGCGAACACCGACTAAGAAAATAACAGTACCTTTTGGTAGAGTTTTCAGTAGATTTCTCATGTTATCAAAAGGTTAGAAACTTGCTTCGAATTGGGTGGCTAGAACACCACATGTTTGCCCATTTTCATCCGTATAAGTACTGTAATAAAGGCCAAGCATGTCACTGGCAAGAGTTCCACTAAAATTTATGCGTAAATTCTCTACACAAGGCTAAACAAGGAAAAGAAGTTATCATAATCAATGCACAACTAACCCAATGAATGCGGGGAAGCTCAAATATTACCCTTTCTTGCTCCTCATCGTAAGTAATGGTAGCATAATCTAAGCTTTACAATAACTATGACAAGAATTATTCGACATACTTTCTTGGTAAATAGCGGATAGAATATTAAGCCCTTTAGAGTTGAAAACCATTTGACTAGTTGGTCGGGTCACCTGAAATTATAAGAGTGCTCTCTTAGGGAAAATGGCAGTGGTTTATAATAATACGATGCTAATGTCTAAGTGAGTCGATATGAACTGGGAACGCACTAAATATCAAGTGTTAAGTGTTGGTAAACTAGTACCTGCAAATTTACGGTAACATGACCTTTGAAGGTTAAGTTTGAAAGGTTTGGGATGATCTCCAGCTTATAGTTGATTGGCTTTATTGTTCTAGTAAGTCGGACACGTCTGTCTTTGCCCATCCCTATGACCTCTACGTGCACAACTTGAACCCGACAGTTGAAGAATTTAAGAATTCGCCGCTCTCAAAGGTCACAAAATAGGTGTCAACGAAAAATTTAAACAATTATTGGATTAAGTTTCAATAAAGGCATAGTGTCAAATGCGGTAACTTTTATGAAATGTCGTTTTGCTGTTCGATATTGCTACCAATTAAAAATAAATTTCTTTAACTTTAAAACCAAGGCTTACATTTTAACGTGCTGCTCTAAACAGTAACTTACCAGATTCAAAGCTTACCAGTTTATTATCGTTTTAACTGTAATGCTTGCTAATTTTTTTATGGTTTGATTCACTTGGTTTGCTAGCCTCATTTCGACCCCTACGATTCCGAACATTTTTACAGTCATCCCAAATGCAGTATGCTTTGTTTTATAGACCTTGATACTGTGTCCACAGCCTTAATTTTTGTATATTTGTCATAGGAATTAAAAACGATCAGTTAAATTTAGAGTAGGAACCATGTAAATACATCTTTCCCTAGTTTTCACCGGCGACAACTATTCTGGATTGGATTTTCGTTCAGTGAATGCTTACCACAGAGAAAACGCCCTTTTTGAGCTTTCGCTTTTATAAGCGCTGTTCTTAGTGCACTCACTTCTAATATTTGTCTCATACTAAGCAGAGGTATCTTTCCACCCTTCCTTCCTTCGACAAGTGTGTTTACTTTGAAACGTGTCCTGTTTCCTATTTTTACATCTTCAAAAAAACATTAAAATAATATTTTTTTAAGCCTTTGGAATATATTGACTACTCATTTATGTG